TAAACATTTTCTTCTTCTTCTTCTATGTAGTCTATAAGAGGGAAACAAGTTGGATTTTAATCTCATTAGAGATTAAATTTCATGAGTTTTGATTAATTAATTTCATAGTTGAACACACTTACACATGCACTTTGAAATGTGATTTTTAAAATTCTTGCCAAAATCTATTGTTTGTCTATTATTTTCTCTTTTTATATTTTTCTCAAATTGAAAATTTACAATATTTCTTCTGATCTTTTAAGTAAAAACTTATTTACACTTCTTATAAATATGGAGAGGGGAGTATAAAGATTACTATTACGTAACATATGTGTAGAAGCATGCATGCATATGTGCGATGAAATTAGAGAACTATATATTTTAAGATGCACTCAAAATAGAGATATGCCAAAATTGCAAGTGGGATAGGATGAGATGACCATCAAAGTGAGATATGCCATCGCAAGTCCTCATTACAAGTGAAATTGTCATTGAAATCATAGATCACAATTGTAGCTGCAATAGCAACCACAAGTCACATTTGACGTGGGTTGTGAATCATATGAACTTGCACAAAGGTGGGAAAGGACACTTTTTAGATGCATAAACATGACCTTTGACGTTTAAAGTTAAATCCAACCGTCACAACTTGATTAGGTATAGTCAAGGGACATCAATTAAATGGTAACACTCATTAAATGTTAACTAATTGTGAAAAGTCACATAATTCAACCACGTTATTGTACAAAGAGTCTCTTCAAACAAAATTATTTCTTTTCATAATGACTCTATAATTTATAAAAGAGGTATAAATCAAGCCATTTTATATGCAGTTCGAGACACAAAACACTCTTATCCCACTTAATCCGAATTACTATTGTCTCGTAGAAGGTTTCCTTGGAGCTTCATCAACTTTTCTTATTGTAATTTCTCACCTAAGGCTCTATTATATTTTGTGAGTGTATTTTATTTGCTATGCAACAAGAAACCTTATTGCTTGAGATGAAAAAGTCCAAATAGATAACTCTTAATTAACACGGGATAATTCTCATAATAATTTAATTAAGAGGATAATAACAACTTAAATGAACTCTTTAAAAATAAACTTGGCATCTATCATAACCCATGCGCCTCACTCAATGGAGAAATCAAGAATATAGCTGTGGTTGGATAAGGGTTCATCTCTATAATATTATAGTTTGTAACTCTACAGGGGCAAACAAGCACTTGGTAGTGGTGGTTCGGAATGGAGTATAAATTTTGACCTTTTATAGTTGTAGCTTTGAAAGCTACTAGTAGGTAGTGGTAGTTTAGATATAAATGATCATTGTGTATTATCTTGGTGAGAGTGAACAATGGTTGTGGAGGAAAGGGTTGAGAGCATTCTTGGGTGAGAGGAATAAATGACAATTGAGAGTGGTCTCCAGTAAGAGAAAAGAGTAGAAGAGAAATGTTAGGGCCTCATAACAACTGCCCATAGTATAAAATCACAAGGTATTTGAAATAACAACCACGAGAAATCAAATATCAGAAAAAATGATGAAGTCCAAGTAAAAACAAAACAAGCACCACAAAAGAACACAAGTTTATGTAGTTCGACCTTGTTGCATATGTCCACGGGAGAGATGAAACCTGTTATTTACTATGAAAGTAAACTGAGAAACAATACAAGTACATTGTGGCTTGCAGCCCAAACCAACCCTTAACCCTTGTACACCCGTTCTCCCTTTACTCTTAGCCCGAAGAACAAAAACAAGAGAAAAAACCCACTCTCACTCAAAGAGCACTTTGTATTTTTCTCTGACACCTTCTCTCCAAAAAGCCTTAACTCTACATACAAAAGAAGTTTTTACATGTAAAACCTCTTTAACCTAAAGAGGAACCATACCAACTGTTATAATAAAATTAATCCAGTGGTTATAAAATAAGACACAATCCCAATAATCTCCACTTTGGCTTATTTTTCAACTACCTTAGAGATATACTATTTGTACCTCCACCTGTTTGCAAATATTGTAAATCTCCTTTGGCCTTGTAAAATACCACCACTTATACATAACATAACTCACTTGGTCTTGACTCCACCTGATTCAAATAAAATGGCCAATGTACCTATGTATCTGTACCCAAGCTAATAATCTTAATTAACTTTAGAGAGGGACCTCGATCATTCCTCTCTTCCAACAAGAATCTTCTTCTCACAATCATCTATACCTTGGAAACTTGTAATACTTGTCTCCACTCTATCTGCAAAAGATACCCTCTGTGTGGTCACATTACCTTGCACATTCCATTTTCAATATCCCATCGAGGTCATGGGAACTACTGTACTTCTAACCAGATGATACAAACCCTTGCATTTTTCTCTTTTCATCAAGACTATACCGCTAGGTATGATTTTCTTGGCTCCGCCTGTAGCAAAAATCATGCATCCCTCGGCTTCTTTTCTTGGAACGTGTCAAAATATTCCTTCCTAGAGCAAATGTGCATAGAACATTCGAAATGTAAAACCCATTCATTTGGAGAAAAATTGCACATACCTTTGAAGATTATGAGAACGTCTTCATTATCATCAAATGCAATTGTCATGCTTCTAGATTCATCCCCACTCCTTTTTCGTGTAGGACAATCTCTTTTCTTGTGACCAAATGCATTGCATCTATAACATTGTATCTTGCCCTTTCTCCCTAGCTTCAGATCTAAACCTGTTGCTCTCAGACCCCCTGTCAAATGGCATTCCTTTTTAATTTGTTCCCAACATAACCAACGCAGAGTCTTGCCCACTCTCATACTTGGGCTTCCTTGTAACCTCATTGGATAGAAGAAATGCAATAACTTTTTCTACCTTCATTGTATCTTTCCTGTACAACAATGTTGTGATCACCAAGTTTTCATACAAATCAAGAAGTGAGATAAGAAGCAAAAGGGCATTGTCTTCTTCCTCCACCTTGACATCAACTTTCCCTAATTGATCTAAGATACAGTTGAACACTTGTTGGTGTTCTAGGAGACTCCCACCTTCTTCCATCTTTAACCCATACAACTACCACTTCAAATATAGATTTGCATTTAAGCAATTCCGGTGCAGAATCTTCCTCCATAACATTATCAACTAGGAGCAATTGAATCGTACTAACACACATTGACTCGATGTCCTCCTAATCAGCATCCTTCATGTCTTCTGGCCTCCCATTCTTTCCTTTCAACACCCTAACCAAACCTTGCTGAACCAAGACATCCTTTACCCTTTTTTTCCATAGAGTAAAACTACATTTGCCATCAAACCTCTCAATTTGGAACTGAGAACCTGCATCTTTTGTTGTCATTACCTCTCAAACAATTTTACAAACACCTTGTAAACACTAATCTAGGAGCTTAGATACCACTTTGTTGGGGTCTCACAACAACCACTCACAGTATTAAATCACAAGGTGTTTGAAATAACAACCATGAGAAATCTAATAGCAACAAAAATGATGAAATTCAAGCAAAGACAAATAAAAAAACAAGCACCACAAAGAACACAAAGGTTTACGTAGTTCGGCCTTACTGCCTACATCCACGGGAGAGACGAAACCTATTTTTCACTATAAAAGAAAACTAAGGAACAATACAAGTACCTTGTGGCTTGCAGCCCAAACCAACCCTTAACCCTCATATACACCCATTCTCCCTTTCTTCTTAACCTGAAGAACAAAAATAAGAGAAAAAACCCACTCTCACACCAAGAGAACTATGTATTTTTTCTCTCATACCTTCTCTCTAAAAAGCCTTAACCCTACATACAAAAGAAGCTTTTACATATAAAACATCTTTAACCTAAAGAGGGACCATACCCATCATTAGATTAAAATTAATCCAATGATTATAAAATAAGACACAACCCCAACAAGAAAAGATTCTAGTGTATCAATCAAGAGCGTTTGGCAGTTGGTTGCAGCAACGGTGAGAGAGAAACAAAAGGGGAGAGATTTCGGGTGGGGTAAGAAAATTTAATTTTGGAACCAGCAGCAACCTAAGGATTATTTGATTGGCCAACTTTGCTCATTGTAATGCTGTTTCTGGTCATATAGAGAGCTTATATGTTTTTTCGATCTGTGGGGAGGTGATACCCCCGTCTTGTGTAGCACTCTTTTCTGCCCTATTAAAAAACTGAAAATCTAATTTTGTTTTGGAGTCCAGACTAACATTAAGTCTGAATTCGGTTAAAATTGAATTCAAATATAAATGAAGACATGGAAATTCTATGTTGGTGGGTACAGATAGTTTTTTTATTATTATTATTATTATTTTATTTTTGGATCCAGGGTGTTGACTTGAGACTTGAGGATGCAACATCCAAAAACTCGACAAATCCCACTGTGAAAGGTAAAAATATATTAATCACATCAAATGCAAGTCTTAGGGTTTAGATGGCTATGAGAATTAAGTATGTATACATAGAAACGCAAGCAGCTTTGATTAATTGTAGAATGGTACAAGCCAAGCCATCTAACTAACCCATCAATCCAATATTCTATCCAATTTGTTTGTGGTTATCTTTGTGCGCTTTGATTTTCTTATTGTAACTGTTTGGGTATCTAATTCAAATTGGATTAATTGAATCTAAATGAATTGATGAGGTGATGGTTTATTCTACTAATTTCATGAGCCAAGGTTTCTGAGTTGTAAGGTCCTCTGATTTATTAAAATGAATACTGTATAAATTCAGATCAAAATTCCATCTTTCACCTCCCAGCAGTTGAAACTTGAAGCTGGATTACTTCCTTTCTTCCACTTAGTGGGAGTATATATGAGACCTCTACAAAGTTTTGTAGTGGTTCAAAAGCATCTATACTTCCACCACGTCTCATAGCATCCTTACCAAAGCAATCTCATGTACAGATTCCATACCAACATTTCCAGGGTGAATCACTTCTCTCCCACTTAACTTGTAATTCTGATTTTCGAATCGATTCTCCTGACTGATTTGTACACATCTACCTTCTTTTAATTTGTTTGCTCTTCTTTCCCAATTTCGGACCTTCTAAGCATTCTGGCATTCAAAATCAGACTCTCAGCTTGCTTCATCGTCTAAGCGACACAGATGGGGCAGATCTTAGGGTCCTTGCAAGAAAAATTTCAAGGTATTTTTTCAAGTTCACCTTTCCCTCCCTGATAAACTTTTGGATGCTTTTACAAAATTTAGGCTTGCATTTTCTTCTTGGCGACCTTTCAGAGTTTTTTTATTTTGAAGCGTCTACTGTCATGATTTCATGGTTAATTTCATTGAGCTATTTGAGCAGGTAAGGAATGGAGGAAAAGACAACTAAGAAAGATAATAGTTAAGATCTTTAATCGTTTTAAAAATGAGTCAGGAAAGGTTTCCTTGACATCTGAAGAATTGTATATAGCAGTGCTGCTTGTTTACAGGTAAGTTCGACTTTCTTCAAGAGAAGACTGTTGCTCATTGGATATACTATTTCATCAAATATAGAACTAGCTCTTGTTCTGTTGCAGTGACATTAACAAATATTTGCCCGGGCGCCACATTGATCCACCATCTATGGATGAAGTCAAGGCTATGAAGGAGGTAATCTAATCCTCCTCATCTATAATCATGAGCATGGTTTTCAAAACCGGACCGGAAAAACTGGAAACTGGTCCGGTGATCGGTTTCGTTTTTTTCTTAAAATCGGATTTTTGTCAAAAATTGTTGATTTGGTTAGTAAACTACTGATCCGGGTGATTGAATCATTCGAATTATTCAACGGTTTTGACTGTTTTTCTATTTTTTTGTCAGAACGGGCTGAACGGTTGTTCAACTTAAGAACCGGACCCCTGACCGGTTCATTGTCCGGGTCGATTTTAAAAACCTTGATCATGGAACCTAATTGAAGAGAAAAAAATCTATGATATAAAAAGAATTTTGATTAATCAAAACCCACTCATAAATTTTGACAAATAGCACCAGATTTACTACTAAGTCTATAATTCCAGTTGATTGGTCAGATATTTTTTTGGATACCATATGATCTTATCCTTCCATTTTTATGAGGATGCCGAATAACCGAATAAACCACTTCCAACTACTGGGTCATCGGCCTATTCCATATTGTATTGTATAGTGTAGTTTCTTGACCAGTTTCATTGGCCATAGTGTACGTAGATTCTTTAAATTGTTTTGAAAGATGACTTTCAAAAGAGAGACCAAAGTGTATAGCTTGGCAAATGTGAGTCCATTATAAATGGATCATGTTCAATCCAATCCAATGTCTGGACCGTCCAATCTGTTCAAATTCATTTTGATTTAGATTGGTTTCAACTCAAACCCAGTCCATTTACATATATATTTTTATTTTATATCAATGGACCAGATATTGGCTTAATCCAATATAAATTTATTATGGATGAGTTATTGGTCCGTCCAATCCGTCTAAATTGATTTTGGACTGGATTGGGTTCATCCCAAACCGGTACAATATTGACACCCTTAGTTCCTAATTCCATTACATCTCACTGCTCCACTCCACAAGCAGGGAGAATGGTCATTTGATGGCATGTATTTGGTTGTTGTGCAGAAATATGATTTGAATCTTGATGGGGAACTGGACTGTGAAGAATTTGTGGAGTTTTTTCAGAAATTGACCATCAACACTCTAACAGTTGTGAGTCAAAATTTGATCATCGCCTTGGTCGTAGCACCAATAATCGCATTGGTAGCAAAGAAGGCAACTGAGGATGTCCCAAGTGTTGGGACGGTTGTTCAAAGGGTTCCAAATTCAATCTATGCTACGGTAGTGACTCTTGCAGTTGTATTATTTCAAAAAGTGGGCAAGGAAATCAAGTGAAACCCTTGTTTCCCAACTGTAATCAAAGAGAAGAGACTGTAGTAATTCTCTGTACAGGTTGATTTGCAACTGATTATTTGTTTCAATGCACATTAAAGGAAAACATTGCAAAAATCACTGTACAAATTAGTCTATGTGGCATCAATGATGATTTCTCCTTGCCGATTATTCAGAAATTGGTGATTTTTGAAAAACCACTAAAAATGGTTGTTTGGTATTAATTTTCAAGGGTGATTATTTTTCTTTGGAATCATCCTTTTCTTGGAGCCATGTCATCTTCCAAAATCACCTAAAAATTGGGGAATCACTAAAAACGGTGATCCCTCAAGATGGGCTAATTTCATGAATGTTTTCTTCTGATTTCCCAAAAATGCAAAAATCGACCAACCGAACAGATTGAAAATCACTGATTCTTCTTTGTCCCACGTGACTTTGATGTGGTGCCAATTTTTAGAAAATCAGCATCAATGCCAAACATCACCTATGTGGCTTCTTAAAATCTTTGAAATAAAATGGTCAAAATTTCTCTAGAAAATCTACATTATTGTGATAAGGAATATCTATTGGCATATATGCACATGCATCATATGTAGGTTTGTATAAAGAAAAAAATAGGTTGTTTAGGGGATAGCTCTTTGTCACTAATGAAAGTTAGGGCACCTGAGTGCCACTACCCCAAAATATCTCTGTATTTTACCCTAACTTTCAACTCTTAGGTAATTTCTACTTGAGTCTTACTGTTTAATAATACTAAGGGTGAAAGTCAGGGCAGGTTAAGTTCGAGTTAAGGTTAACCCTAATCCGATCTAGCAACGGATTTCTAGCCACGGTCAGATAAAACCGTAGTTATATGTTATCTATTTTTCGGTAGAAATATCGCGACGGAGACGGACACAAACCGTGGTTAAAAACCATAGCAATATGTAAGCCACGGACACAAACCGTATCTTTGTCCATAGCTATTTATTGTTTATAGCAACTGACACCCAATCCACCGTTGCTACCAACATATAGGCGCGAGAGCAAAAATCAAATTTCCCTCTATGGCTAATCTCTTTGTATCCATCTCCTTCCCTCATCTTGAGCTAATTCAATCCCCTTCTCTCCCTCTCCCCAAACTCCATGCTCCCTTCTTTTTCTGACATCATCGACCACCCTCTGCTACTCCGTATTCTCTCTTTCTCTCTCTCATATATTGCAGGGTGCAAGTAGAAGTGCTTTAGCAAAATCGAGTAAGCTACGACAGAAGACGGTGTGTTCAAGGAAGATCTATCATCTTATTTTCCTTTTTTTTTCATCAAATTCGTTAGATTTCCTTGTGGTTTCCTCTATTTTTTCCGTAGTTTTCTTGTTGGATTTACTTCAATACCTTTCTACGCCTCATATCTCACTGTGGTTAGGGTTTCCTATCCATTTCTTTTAGTTTTGAACGAAGTCTCATTGGCGGAGAAGACTTTAGAAGATCGGCCTGACAATGTGGATGAACTTTTTTTTCTCCATAAACTGTTTGAAAGTCCACCGAAACCTTAAAGGCTAAAGCTTTGGACAGAGGAGTCTGGTCTAGGTTTTCTCAGGTGAGTATATTATCTCTCTCTAGCGGCTTTCTCTTCAACGATTTTCAATCTCTGACCATATCTCTCTTCAGATTTCTTTGACGTTTAGGGTTTTAGGTTGATTTTTGTGTTTTCTTGTCTTCCACCAATCCCCTGAGGTTCTGAAAAAGCATGTGGTTGATTGGTTGAGTATCAGGCTTGGATCCTAGCTCCTGGACTCATATCTAAATCAAAATAAAGTTTAGTACTTAAAAATTTGAACCTGGAACCTAACCGTTGGTATAATGCCCTGAAAGATGTTATAGTTTCACAAGTTATGTATTGATTGAAATTAATTTTTTGCTGGAAACCATGATGCATGGGCTTTGGAAACTATAATTTTTTGTTGATATATGCTTTTAGAAATTAGAATAGTTGGGACAAGGCTTTAATGATGATGATTATTTGCTTTTTATTTACACAAATGCATGGGCTAGATTTTTAGCAATGCATATGATACTATTAGTCAACTGAATGGTCATTCCTACATTTTGGATTTCTTGATGGTTTCTGTGTTGAGCCTCATATTTGTCTTTGAATCTGATTTCCCTTGTCATCAGAGGTGGGTCGAACTGCTAGTGGGTCCTATTAACAATTTATTTGGCCTTTGAAAACAAAAAAGAAGGATTAATGAAATGATCTGACCATTTATAGCAGTATATGCATCTTTTAGTTTCCGATCCACCAAAGCACTAACTAATTCAGTTTTAGGGGGTTTAATAATAGTTTCCTATCCACCAACTAATTCAGTTTCCTATCTATCAAATCTGGTCTAGGTTATCCAAATGAACATCCAGGAGCATAATTGCAAACAGTTGTACAGGATGGTGGTTCTTGGTAAGACTTAAAACAGATTGTCAGCTCAATGTCCATATGTGGTTGTCTGTTACCAATCTTTCTATTATAACGGTGGCATATTAATTGTCTTGGATATGGATGGTGGTTCTCTAGCAGATTTTCTTAAGAAAGTCAAAATAATTCCAGAGCCATATCTTGCCACCATCTGTAAACAGGTTAGTATTGTTTGTTTCTTCCTTGAATCTTTGACTTATAGATTCATGTAGTTAGTTTCTTCTAGTTGAACTGTAGGTTCATACATGCAGGTTCTCTAGTGTTTGTTGTATCTTCATCATGACAAGCACATAATCCACAGGGACTTGAAGCCTTCTAATTTGTTAATAAATCATAGAGGAGAAGTCAAGATAACTAACTTTGGTGTGAGTGCTACATTGTCAAGCACCTCTGGACTGGTAAATACTTTTGTTGGCACATACAGCTACATGTTTATTAGTACATCTACTCATATTCATGGGCAACAATTACTCCTTTTTTTTGTAGGATATTTCTGCATTTTCATGGTGCTACTGGTAAATAAGTACTGCTATCTAGTAAAGGTTGTTTATTTAGAATTTGTGTTCCACAACCAAAGAATAGTTGGAAACGAATATGGCTACAAGAGTGATATCTGGAGCTTGGGACTAGTTCTGCTAGAATGTGCCATAGGCTTACTACTACGGTGATGGGTTTCTTACTACTGCAACAAACTTCAGCTTTCTGCTCTTTGGAGCCTTGAAATGGAACCAAATATGGGACTTGTTTGCAGTCCTCGTGTACTGTGTCACACTAAAATAGAGTATAGCAGCAGATTGATAAAATATTATCTAAATAGAAGAGAAATGCTACTGCATAATGATATCTGCTCCTTATTCAATGAATGCTCAGAATCGTCCACTACTTTTGATCATGTGGTCATTTACATTTGTTCTTTACCAAATTTGAAATCTATACCTCATAGTTAAGATTTAAGTTCATTTATCTTAATTGTGATGCAACTAATAATTTTCTAGAGTTGGATGGTTGAATTGGTCATATTGCATTCACATTTTATTGAATGCATTTGTACTATTGTTCAACTATATTTCAATGCTTTTTTTGATAGATAACAAGATTCATTGTATTATCAAAACAGAAGTATATAATGTCCAACACTTTAAACAGTGAAAATTAATTCCAACCTCAGCCTTCTCTTTCTGGAACAATGATGCAATTCATGGTTCCTATCAACTTGCCACTTCTGCTTAATACTTTCTCATTTTTTGTTGTTTAATTGCTTGTTTAATGGTCACATAAACAGGTTGTTCAGGATGGCGTGGACATTATCAATCTCTCAATGCAGCCAAACAGTCCTTCCACCAACAACCAGGACTACATTTTGCCATCATATGACAACATGTGAGCCTCCTTTAGTAGTCCAAGTTCTTATAGTTCATGGACTTGGCTAGTTGAATGCCCTGTAGTACAACAATTACTTATGCCCTTGTAGAGTCGGCCATCCTATTAGACATGAGTATAGTGCCCATATATCTTTAAATTTTTGAAAGTCCACTTCTCTAGATGGACCTTGGTTGCCCATGATACTATCATGAAGATATAACTGGGCTATTGGAGGTTCCTTGACAAGGGGTAGTTTTCCAGACTAAAAGGGAAATAGCATAAATATCTTTGTTTTCCTTCCATCCTCTAGCTGTAGATCTTCTGCCCTACATCCCTATTACTCTGGTTAAGACTGGTATAAATTCATTATGTCATTAATAACAGTAGGTGCATGTTTCTGTGTGTCTTCATATGTTTGCTTGTGCCTTTGCTAAATCTAGAAAACGATTAATGTGTTTTCTTTCACCTAATGAAACTAATCAAGATGAATTCCATCTAGAAAACAATTGATTTAAATGTTATGCCTTTATTAGCAATGAAATCCTATGGTTCATTCAACAACAGGTTGTGACCTTACTCCATCCATGGTTTATGGGTGAGCAAAGATACTTTCCTTTGTATCTTGTTAGATATTTTCTACTTGTTTTCAGTTTCTCTAATGTTTTTACTGGTAGCCATTTTGTTTTTATCTCTATGTTATGCTGAATTTTGAGCTTCAGAAATTTACACGTATTGATTTTACAGTCAGGGGGTTTTATACTGAAATATTATACTTAAACCCTTAGATTTGGTAGTTTGTTAAAATTGTGCTAAAATATTATTATCTTTAACGATAATCAGCATTAGACTATTCACTAAATTACAGATTGTTATATGGTAATTCTCATGCATGATAAACCCATGATCGAGGTAGATGTTTATTGTGTTTACAATTTAGGATAATAAATTCTATGAATTGGACAATTTTCACCCCAGTGTTATGGGTTGTTGAAATCAGATTTTGTTCTACCTATGTAAAAGAGGAAAATATGATAAGTAATCGAGAAAACTGAAACAGGATCCAATGGTCTATCTGGAATTAACTATTATAAGAACTCATTACTATTATAAGAACTCAGATTTTGTTCTTGTACCTTTTTAGCTTATTTGTAGTTTCGGCTAGAATTCTTCATATTGTTGGATGGAAAGTTGCTAAACTTCCCTTGATTGCTACAAGCAAGGGTAATTAGGAACAGGTGAGGCTATTGGTTTGGGTTGTTGTGGTGTTTTTTTTAATTCTTTTTTCTGCCAACTGGATGAGATTTTAATTCTAATTCTGGATAAAATGATCATTTGTTGCCCTTGTAAAATTGGGTTTTCTGATGCTGTTAGACCTAGGCCCATGGATCTCCACCTTGTTACCTAGTGTCAAACTATTCTCAGATCCAAATCCAAAATGATCTTATTGTTTATTGACAGTTGTTTCAGGTGCCCCATTTCTTTTCTTTTTGGAAAAAGAAAGTTGTTTTGGAAAGTGAGGGACCCACTTGATTTCTTCATAATGAAACTCCAGTACATGGCTGGACCATTAGTATTAGGAATATATTAGGGTTGTCAGATTCTACTCAAGATATTCCTTATTTTATCTTCTTTCTTTTTGTATCTTCTCTTTTCCTGACCTTTGTGGGATGTATCCGTGTTGTCCCCTTGTTTCACTAACATTCTTGAATACATGGAACCTTTGATGCATAATTGGATCCCTCCATTTTCTAACATTCCTATTTTAGACTACCCTGTCTTGAATGAATCACTAGAGTTTGTTGTATTACTACATTGTATTCAATAAGGCTGATTTTGGTTTGAAAGAAAGGTAGGGAACCTTATGCTAGGTTAGCATAGGTTTTCCTACTTTTTCTTTGAAACGAAGCATGACCTAAGAGATTGTTGTCAAGCTCTTCTTAGTGATGGTTTTAGCAATTTGAGTTAGTCTTTAAGTTCCTTCAAATGACTTCATTTTTTATCCTGTCCTCTCTTACAAATTAGAATAATATTTTGCATTTATGTAGTTCTTTGAGAAAATTATTGGGGGGAAGGGCATTTGATGTTTGCTGCCTATATTACTCATGCTTTACTTGTTAATTCTTGCAGGTTCAAAAGGAAGTGGTACAGCATTAAAACAGCCATTATTGGTTGAACATAGGAGCAAGGCGTTGAAGTTTTTTTTTTTTTTTGAGGACACTTATTCATGTATTCTTGACAAATGATAAATGTACGTTGTAATAGCATTTGATAATTTGAATAAAAAAATTATTTGAGTAGTGTGCCTTTAGTAATGGTTACAATGGAAAATCATAGTTTTGCAAGATAATTTCTAGTATTGGTTTTTCAAGATTAATTCTTTATAGCAACGGTTTATCAAGAAAACCATTGTTATAAATAGTCTTTAGCAACGGTTTTCATGGTGAACCGTTTGCTAATAGGTATCATTTAGCAATGGATTTCATGATGAACTGTTGGTATAGATACATTTAGCAGCGGTTTTCATGATGAACCGTTGCTAGAACCTATTGCCATGGTGGAAGAAGCATTAGTTTTGTGTCTGTCGCCAGTCCGTTGCTATAGGTCTCTAGCAACGGTTTTAAGGACTTCTAGCAACAGTTTTGTCCGTTGTTAGAAGTCAAATTTCTTGTAGTGGTGTTGAACCCCTGGGTTTAGATTTGGTTAGGTTTCCCCAATTTCTTTACTTCTTTTCGCTACTAAAAATAAAATCTCACCTTAGATTTGAGTTAGCCAATCATGCTAGTTTGATAAAAAGAATAAGAGAGAAATAGAACGGATCAATTCATGATGGCGTTATGAATATGTATTATATACATGGTTCAACTATGATGCTAGGTAACTTATAACCAATCAACTAACATCATAAAAGTGATAATGAATAAAGTGGGTTTTCATCAAAATTCAAAGGGGGTTTGATTGGTCAAAGTCTTTCTAGTAGTATGTCTTTTTGGCATCATAGATTTATCCTATATACATATATGCATTTACAAATAATTATATATATATTCTTGGATAATATAATACATTCATAAACACATAATTTCATGGGTTCTCCTTATATGTAGGTACATGTGAATAGATTTTGGCTTACTAAGTTTAGGGATTTTTATTCCAAAATTATTGTGGGGTGATGGCTGGAACAGTTCAACCATATGGATAAATGATAAGTTGAAAATGCTGTTTATCATTAAAAAAATTGCCTTTAAACTTGTTTTCTTGATCAAGTTTAAACTTAAAATTGTTGATGCATACATTTTTTTTTTTGGAAAAGCATTGATGCATACAAATTTAGATGCATGCATACATATATTTACATACATCATCATGTAAACCTTGTCTCATTTATATGGAGTATGCTACATGAATCTTGCTTCATCCCTCCGATGTCACATTCATACATACATAAACTTACATTCATATAATATACATATATATGCATACATATATTTACATGAATCTTGATTCATCGTTAAATTATTGACACTTAAATCATTTCTTATTACTTCCACCCAAGGTTCAAAGTATCCATATCAATAGTACTCTCAATGAACTTAAATTCTATTGTTTCTTTAATATTTGTTTCTGATCTTTTGTCAAGGATATGCCAAATCATATCCTATCCTATCATTTAAAATTCTTAAAATTCACCATATCTTAGGGTCCGTTTGGTTCATGGGAATAGGAATCTGGAATCGGAAATAAAATGGTTCAATTGTTTGGTTGTGTAGAATTAGAATCTCATTCCCATTCCTGGTGGAGTGGCATTCCCCCATTTGAAGGGAATGTCCATTCCCTCCCTCTCCCTTGAGAATGAGAATCCATCACAATTAATTCCAATTTCAATTTCAACTCCCATTAGAATCAAACAGGTAAGGTAGGATTTCACAGTCCAATTTGGTTTGGTTTGGAGAAAAATCTCGGACCAAACCAATAAATTATGAATTGAGAATTCTCAAATAAAACCATTTTAGTATAGAAACCAAATTTGACCAAAACTGTTCCCAACAGTTTGGTCCAATTTCTTTGGGCCATTCTATTGGGCTCAACCCAATTAGAAAGCCCAGATAACATATATATACCTACATAATATCAAATATAATTCAAATATTAAATTAAAATATTAACAAGTGTCACTTATTACTATTATATTAATCACATTCACATTTTCTCAAACACAAAAAACTCCTTGGGCATCAAATTACATGTATAAAACATTAAATGAATATGTACATACATATGTTTAAACATTTGTCTTATATATACTTATATAAATTAATTAAATATATTATTAATAATTCGCTTTAATATGTTTTACAGTTTGGTCTAGTTTCTAAAATTTAGAAAACAAAACCAAATAAAAAAAATTACGGTTCGAGGAATTCTCAGATCAAATCAAACCTTTTTAGGACCAAACCAGACCAAACCGCCAATTATGGTTTGGTTCGATCCAGTTTGGCTCTAGACCATATAATGAACATCCCAAATAAGGTAAGGGAATAGATCATTCCAATTTCGGTTGCAACTGCAGACCAAACGGACCCTTAAAATGTTTAATCACTGAGTTGTGCTGGGAGTTCTGAGTCGGACCTAATAATACCCCCGTTTGCATGAGCAAGAGCAACCCCGGTAGTTACAAGCCTCGAGGGTTGGGGTTGGAAGTTTGAACCGTGGGTGTGGGAAATGGGAATGGAATCGGAATTTAATTTCGGTTCCTCTGCAACTATGCAAAAACGTGGAATTGATCAATTGAAGGCTTAAAATCCGCTGGATTCGACTTATAATTCAGATATTTTTCTCTTCCCGATTGGTCAACGGTACATAGTCAGCTAAGTGTTCGTCACGAACGGTTAAAAAAATCTGAAAACCCACGTGTCAGAGTATCAGAAAATAGCTTACTCGAAATACCCGACGAATCACACTCCACCACTAGCAGGTTGCAGCTTCTAGCTGAGAGTTCGAAGCTTGCAAGGGTTAGTTATCATTCTTGTGATTTTTCATTGATTCATTCTTCGTCTTCTTCAATTCGGTTTCGAGGGTTTCGAGTTTCGCAATTCGCAGGTTGAACACGTTCACGGGTTTGTATTCAGCTGGTTCGCCCTTTATCTGACGCCAATGGGACAGGTCTTCGGTACCATTCAAGAAGGAATTCAAGGTAAGTTTCAAACTTTTGTTTGTATTCTCTACTATAGTTTCAAGTTCTGTAGCACTCTGTGAAACTGTTGGTAGACTTTCTATTCTTGCTGATCTCCTCTGAAAGGATTCACGTTGAGCGATTTCGTTGTTCTGCTTTTTTTGGTTCCACTAATTCTGAATCTAAAACATTCGTTTGCCAGTGCTTGCTGATTCCGAATGCAATAATAACTTTGGGATATGTAGTTCTTCTCTTTCGGCGCCGGTGGTTGGGGGTGGAGAGGGCTTTTTTCTGATTTTTTTTTTTTCAATAAAGTTGGTATTGGAATTAGATTCTGCGAGTTATGTGATACTGTGATTTAAGGCTCTGTTTGGTTTGAAGGAAAAGGTAGGGAAAGGAAGGGAAAGGCAGGGAACCCTATACAAGGCAGGGAACCCTTTCCCTTCCTTTCCCTACTTTTTCCTTCAAACCAAACACAGATAGAATCCTTTTTCTTTGACCGCCACTTTATGGAACAAAAAAAATGAACACTTAGATTTTTTTTCTCAGATTCCTCGCCTTTTTTTCTCTGATTCTGGATTTTACTTGCTATGATAATTTTTGTTTTTCTGGAGGTTGTCTGACTGCTTTTATTGGATTTAGTGGTTCTTTTGTTTCAGAAGTTGAAGTCCAAATGTGTGGGAATGATTAAAAGCATACAACTATTTTCGACTTTTTCTAACATATTCTGTTGCAAATTTCGAAATATTTAATCCTTTTTTCTTGTAAAATACTTTGTAATATTGGCTCACTTCCCAGGCCTATATTCTCCTTTGATCTCTCTCTACTTATAAACCTAAATAGATAAATATGGAGTCTGAGTTCTGAACAAAGATAAGAATAGCATCTCTGATTGATATTTGTAGACTTGGACATTTGTTCTATAAACAGTGGTCAAGACCCATGATTCTATGGATCTTGATGGTGCAAGATTTGGTGCTCCCTACTAGAGCACAGCTCGGGCTTGTTTAACGAGGTCAGCTAGCTGAGCTGCAAGAAGACAGTCAAAGTACCCAGGGTGGGCACTCCGATGCTTAAGTTAACGAGGAGCTTTCAGAGAACTAGAGAATTGTGAGAGCTAAATCGCACGTACCTTCTCTAATCAATGGGGCGCCTTTATATAGGCGCAGGTTGCCGTAGACTTCACATAGCGCGTCTGAGATCTCTCGGAGGATGCAGCTTATCGATCCGCCTCGCTCAGAGGTAGTTTCACACAAGGTTCAAAAAATCGTTACATATCAGCCCGTATCGGGAGAACCTCGATATGCCCCTACAGAGGGTGTATCGGGGTTTTGACCGGTTCAGGGGGTGGAGGAACCTTAAACCAGCCCCCCTGAACCGGATTTGAAAAAAAAGTACAAAAAAATAAAAAAAAAACAATACCGATACTGCCCAATACGCCGGTAGAACCTTGGTTTCACATTCAGAGATGACTTCTGCATAAAGCGGTAGAGCTTATCCGGTTGCCTCCGAAGCGGGCGGGGCGGGAATCAGCTCCGTCACCATGCCATGTAAGTCGCCAACCGGGCCTCAATTGGGTTGGTGGCGAGAGGTCGCCCCTCATGTCATGGCCCCTGCCTTAGTTCTGAGGTTGCCAACCTAATCCTATCAAGGTGTCCGCAAGTCGGCCTGCTGAGGTGGTGTCAGGATACTTAAGGTGTGCGAGGTGTGTCTGAGGTGTATTCGAGGTAGACTCCACTCTGATAAAGGTGAAGTCATTGCCTACATGGTGCTGAGGTGTCATGCAACGGTTCTGGAATGCCATGTAGTGTGATGTCACTAGAGGGCCAAATCATCCCTCATCAGATCTCATATGAGAGATCTTGATGGCCTAAAATTAGTTTTATATATCTCAGCCTGACAAGCGCAAGAGTGCAGGTTCAAGTATGAGAGTAGCCACTTTGTGCAAGAAAAGAAGAAAAATGCCAAAGGATAGGTCCATATCCATTCCACCCCTCCCAAGACCTCTGATAGCTTGGACCAACATTGGGTAATGGCGTTTTTTAGATCTTCGGGAGCATCTAATCAGTTGCAATTAAGTGAGGCTGAAGTGGTGGTAAATGTTTCGATCAATGTTACAGGCATGAGAAAATCTAGTCAAGTTGTTTTATAGACTAGGGGATATGATTTTTCTTCAAAGTGTGGACAAAAATTAAATGAAGATAATATTGAAATGCCAATAGGTATGCAGGTCAGGTACCTGACTTGAATTTACACAGCATTGGGCCCATTCAAATTTTAGCAAACACTCAACCTGAGCCTGCCCATATTGCAGCCTTAACTGCCATATGATGGTCCAACACAAATTGTTGAAAAGCATTAGCTAGGTGTGGTTAGTGATCTCTGCATAATCACATTTGGTGCATGTTTATGCCAACTTTCCTCTCTATTTAATTGGTAAATTTCTAGTTCCTTATATAGAATTTTAGGCAGAACTATGTCAACCTATTCCTGATCTGGATAATTTTTCTATTTATTTCCGTATTTGTATTTTTTTTTTGCAATCTATTATAACTTTTAGTTTCTATCCATCAAAAATAATTTCCAGTTTTCTTTTGTTGATTTATTTGTTTAATACTCATGTGCTTGTTGCATGTTGTGTCATGTCCACATAATAGTTATACTTGGACATTGGTAAGACCTTGATTGTCGGTTATGATGCCTCTGATAAGTTAGCATGCATCTAGTGCATTAGAAAATACATTATGTACTTCAAAATGCGATAACATTAGTAGTTAAACCCAAATTGAATATTTGTTTTCCCTAAATCAAAATAATTTCTACACCTTTAATATTAAGCCTCTAAGTATTAGAACATAATTGGGGCACACACACCAAAGAAAAGATACCCACTATGTTATTTTATTGATCCATGTAATCTCATCTTTTCATAGCTGATTACTTTCATACTGTTCGAACAGGTAAGGAATGGAGGAAAAAGCAACTCAAAAAGATATCCGATAGGGTTTTTGATCGATTCAAAAATGAGTCAGGAAAGGCTAATTTGACATTTGAAGACCTGTATATTGCAATCCTTCTTGTTTACAAGTAAGCCATTTTAAGGAAAATTGTCATTTGGTTTGTTATCTCAGGTACTGTAATACTTACCGAGAAATGTTTATTTTGTTGCAGTGACATTAACAAGCATTTGGCTGGTCCCCACATTGATCCACCTTCTAAAGTTGATATCAGAACTATGATGATGGTAATCTAGTGTACTCTCACATACTCAAGAAACCTTTAACAGATCCCTTTATTTATTTAACTGTACTAGCTAAGGATATCGTGTTCTATTAGTATATTTTGTTGACCATAGGCTCATTTTGTAACAATAACTAAAGAATTTGTTTTGAAGGATGATTTACATTAGATGAAAGCTATGCTGATTCACCAAATACAATGCTTTCCTGCCAATTTTATCATTAGAAATTTACAAACTTCATTTAAATTATATAGTTCACCTATATTCAGACATTGTTTATGTAATCATATTTGTATTGTCATGCAACATATAATGTTGGAAGATGTTTGGCTCAAAGTCTTGATACTGTAGTGACTCAACCAAGTACCTACTTCTCAATAAATGCAAGTTGACTTGGACAATTCAGAACAATTTCCCCAAGCATTGTATTTACTTATTTTGGAAAACAGAAATTGAATGTTGTGCAGACAATGCTTTTATAAATATACGGAGATATTTATGAATTTATTATTAATATCTTATTCACAGTAATGCTTCAGTAGCTCTGTTAAAAGGTATTAGTCATCATTTCCCAGATTTCTGTATTCATATTATCAGATGCGTTACTCTTTCAAATTTTAATAATTAGTTGATATCCATTAGTTAGTTATTATTTACTTGCCCATACCTGACATCTAGGTCATCAACTTTATTATTTACTTTCCCAGCGGGTTGGTAAGGTCTCCTGCTGGTTGTAGTGGAGACTTGGGATCAAATCCTGCCTGCACCTGGGTTGGGGCTGGGGGGTTATGGGTTGGGGGATGGGCTACCACGGGTTTTGTAGCCCTTCAAAAGATATCCAAAAAACACTTTATGTTTGAGTTCTAACTGAAATGATGTCGGGACTAGGGAATTGATTGTCCAAATCTCTTTAAGATGTTGAATAATTCCTATCATGCTTTTACCATGAAAGATCAAACAAGACTATACTCAATTTTTTCTTGTAGGCCTGCCCTGGCCCAGAAGTTATGATATGTATGTATAAATCATATATAACGTATATGGTATATATTAATGATATATGTATGATAGTTTTTTATATATATGTTATGTACTTTTTATTATAAATTAAATTGACATATTATTTTCAAAAATATAGTTCTATTAATTTATACAAGAAATCCTGGATGTCCAACCCAGGCAGCCCTAAATGCTGTTATTACCCTGTAAAAACCTGACCCAGGCCCAGCCTATGGTCATCCCTAGTGTTAGTGCTGTTTTGTTGATATTGCATAAGCACATGAAAAATCAATTACAAAAGCAACAGAGAACTCAATTGATTTACCTCCTCTCATGTCTATACTTTGAATATTGCTTCTCTTTGTAAAAAGGAGTCTCCAAGAGAACTAAAGTTGGTCATTAGGATGGAGAGCTTTGCAAAAATGGTTTTATTGTAGGGATCCAGGAGGGAACAAGCAGTTGGATCCTCTAGAGATGGAGGATATCACATCTAATCTTCCTTGGTGGAGTCTCCTTGTAAAAACTCACTTTGGACATTCTTTTTTTCTGGATCAGTAACAATTATCTGAGTCTTTTTTTTCAAATAATTGATCCAGAAAAAAAGTACAAAGGGGAACCCCTATTTCCAGGAACTATGTAGAAGAGGGAGACAATGATACTAGGATTGACATACAATAACTACAAGGGTATAACGGATAAAACATACTTAAACCCCCTGGGCCCACATTTTCCAATACAAATGATGACCTTGCACTCTGGCTAATGAATCTACAAGACCATTGTCTGATGTAGGGGACCTATATAAGTGACTCAACACTCATCCTAGAAGGCAAAGCCCCTGCAGTTCTAATTTAATGTCAAAGAGTCAACCCACCAGATTTGGAACCCATCCATTCCATAATGACTTCATAGTTTCCCTCTATAAGTAGCTGACCTAGGCCCAAGGAGAAACCAATTTTCATGCCTTGCAGTACACAAGGGATTTCAGCTCTTAACAAGTTCCCCTGTTCAATAGCACTCAAAATGACCATTCCTTCTGGCTCCTAAAATCTCTTCCCACCACTGATACCCAGATACCTGTACAAGGGTGCTATATTGTGTACTTTGATTTTTGGTGTAAATTCCGTATCTAACACCTTGTCCAGCTATGCCATTTTTTGTTATGGGCCCGGGAATAGGATCTCGTCACGGGTCGGTCCACGGGGAAAAGCTCCTGTTTTCCCTTGTTCCTCCCCTTCCTAGCTGAACCTATCTTGGCGTCCTAGAGGGTGATTTGTCCAAGAGATCACCGAATTCTC